TTGGTTTCTGTTTTGATAATTTACATAAAGTAAAACAATCAATTATCAATGCCTGTGATGTGCCAGGTACTGTATTAGGTATTTTTATCTATGTAGTCTATTTAGTCTCTAAGGAGGAGACAGTGTTTTCTCCATTTTAAAGATGAGGAAACAAAGACACAAATAGCTTAAAGACAACTTGATTAATTTCTAACCTTTGATGTCATGCCTTGCGGACACAGAGGTCAGTGGGATGTCCTGGAAGGGTATAGGCACTGAGGCTGGACAGAACTGGGTTGGTGCTCCAGATCAGTCAGTCTTATATGTGGGTAAATTTCATAGTCTTTCTGAGAATAGCACTTGTGGCAACTCAATGACTTTGCCTTGTGAGGTAATTTTGGGAAAACAATTTTTATAAAGTGTCTTTAATTGTGTTTGATACACAGTGGGTACTTAACAAGGTCAGCCTGTGTTACTTTGAATCCTATGGTACTCCCTATACATGAGGGGCCTTGTAGAATTAGAAATTCAACACTAAATTTTACACTTCAAAATAATTTCTAACCTTTGATGTCATGCCTTGCGGACACAGAGGTCAGTGGGATGTCCTGGAAGGGTATAGGCACTGAGGCTGGACAGAACTGGGTTGGTGCTCCAGATCAGTCAGTCTTATATGTGGGTAAATTTCATAGTCTTTCTGAGAATAGCACTTGTGGCAACTCAATGACTTTGCCTTGTGAGGTAATTTTGGGAAAACAATTTTTATAAAGTGTCTTTAATTGTGTTTGATACACAGTGGGTACTTAACAAGGTCAGCCTGTGTTACTTTGAATCCTATGGTACTCCCTATACATGAGGGGCCTTGTAGAATTAGAAATTCAACACTAAATTTTACACTTCAAAAAGAGAGAGAGAGACTTCTTTAGTAACAGTGTAGCCAAGTCTTTCCCTTTGTTTACTAGCTATGATTGACAAAAATCAGTCTTTTCTAGTCACATACTTTGCAAACATTGTGAACATCAATATAATTAGTAAACATGTGAAAGTGACATCTGTCTGAAAGCACATTTTAAGCAAATGACTAGAACATGAGGTAAATCAAGGAATACCAGATTTAAGAGAATGATAAACTTGCCACAGAAATATTCAGATAGTGAATAATGCCGTAGATTTGATCAAAATCCAAGTGACATTTGTTTAGATATATTGTTCAAGTCCATCAAGAGAAACAATTTTTTACTGTCTTTCCATGAGGAAGTGTTAAGACTACACTATCTCTTTCCCAAGTGTTTAAACTTTGGCCATGGGTTTTGGAATAGAAAGGCTTAGTTCAAATTCTGTCTCTGAATCCTGGGTCTCTTCTCTTCCTTTATGAGTCTGGAAACCTTGAGCAGAGTGTGACTCTTTTTCTGTGAAATTAGCATGGTATATAATTATTATTATATCTTAAATTGAGAGTCTTGAGGTTATAATCTGTGAAATTAGCATGGTATTGCCCATCCCTTCTGCTGTTTTATGATGAGATGAGCTAATATTGGATAGCTGAGTACACTGACTGGCCCTTAGTGCTGAAACAATAATGGGTAATGTAATTTTTTAAATCATCTATTATCCTAGGAGAAAAAGTCAAAATTCAACCTAAAGGAGTAGAAGGAATATGTGTTAGAGAATTGCAGATCAATCATGTTTGTTCTGTCAGTTAAAATCATAACTGTTTTTATTCTCCAACATTAACTGGGTTGACATGACATCAATTTATCAATGTTTGATCTATTCTTCAGTCTTCCACTAAAAGGTGTACAGCCCTATAAAACCCTGTAGTTCAACCAACTCCTTAGGTGAAGGACTCACAAGAAAGGTTTAAATAGTAATCTATTCCATGCTTTAAAGAGCAGTTCCTCCCCTTCTGCCGAGCCATGATGGCCTTAGACAGTCTTTCAAAATTCTGTATTTATTTTTCGCCCATAAAATTTTTAAATTTCAATATTTAATACTATAATTCAAGGCTGCTTTAAGTATTTCCTCTTTTGGTAATTAAACACTTATTAAGCAAGTATGTGCCAGCCCAATCTCCTATTGGCTATTGTTACTTTGCATCACTGAAAGCATAAAATGCTATATGGGAACAGTCCACCTTTTTGTCTCTTGTATAGGTCTATACAGACCCAAGTTATCTTTACCCAAATTCAGTTTGAAGTTTAATCTTGCTCCAAAAATATCCAAACCTGGATTGTTCCAGTTGAGTTGAAAGTTCAATGATACTTTTCGGTATCTATTTGATAATTAACGTATTTATTGAAGGTTTACCAAATTATTATTATATCTTAAATTGAGAGTCTTGAGGTTATAATCTGGTAAGCATGCACAAATAATGATACCATAGTGAATACAAATAAACATTCAAAAAAGTCAAACTAAGGGGTCGGCTGATGATGTGATGTGCTGATTAAGGTGGCTAGATCCCATATGGCCAACCGAATACTTTGAGTCTCAGACCTGGAAGCTTAAAAAACATGCCAGGGGACCAGCAGTTGGCGTAATGGCTATGTCACTGGACTGCCGAGTAGTTGACAGCAGTTTGAGTCCCGGACCCGGTGATTTAAACTCACGCCAAGCACATGTGTGTGTGTGCCCAAGATCCCAAGAGGAGAATGGAGGAGAAGAGATTGCAGTGTGGCCATCCCCCCAGAGGGTGATTTCTCACTTTCTATCTCTCTGTTTCTGTCTTTCTGGCGATCACACATGCCCTATAGCAAAAACCCCCCAACCCCCCCAAAAAAAAAAAAAAAAAACACCCACACCCATATGTGTGTTTGTCCAAATCCCAAGAGGGGAGTGAGAGGAGAGAGGATTGTGGTACGGCTATCTCCACTGGAAGGTGCTTTCTCACTTTCCCTCTTTCTCTTTCTGTCTCTGTAAAGAGTGCAAGTGCCCAAAAGCAGTTAAAAAAAATCAAACTAAGTTATTTCAGAATCTAGAAGAAAGTACTTAAGAGAAGGGTTAATAAAAGGGGGTGACAAGTTAGGTAA